TTTAATTTTAGATAATTATAAATAATCATAAATATCTTAAAGTTATTTAAGACATTGAAACCAGATGGAACTCTTCATTTTTAGCTTGAAAATGATTATTAGAAATAAAAAATGCAATTGATATTATTAAAATGATTATGAATCAAGCAACAGATGATCAAACTAGAAAAAAATACCAATATCTTAAACAAATTTTATTAACTAATCAAGAATGGGATATTTTAAAATCTTTAGTAAAAATTTTATTATCATTTGCAGAAGCTACAACATTTTTAGGATCAAGTAAATTTTCTATAGTAGGTTTTATTAATCAAATTATTAATATATTAAAGTTAGGTGTTTTTTCAGGCAATTAACAAGATTTTGATATATTAGAAGAAGTAGTTTTACAATAACAGAAACACCTTTTGATGACAATATTAATTTTGATGATATTAATTTTGATGAATTATTGGAAAATGAATTAGATAGTAATAGTTTAGAAGATTATAATTTTGTAGTAGAAAAAGTCAAAGCAGCATTATACAAAGCAATACAATATTATTAGAAATTTCTAACTCACAATGAATTATTATTTAGTTTATTGAATCCTCAACATAAAAAGCTTGAATTTATCTCTAAATCTGAACAAAAATTAACTAAAGATATTTTGATAAAATTATATAATGATGAACAAAATAATGTAAATTAAATTATAATTCAAGTGATTCTATAAATAATAATTATTAATCTGCTTTAGATAATGAATTTGCAAGTAACTCTTTATTAAAGCAGCTTAAAACAAAAAAAAATATAGTGACAATGAAATTTAACAATATTTAGCTTTATTAGAAACTGGAATTAAAACAGATGCTTGTATTTGGTAGGCTAGTCAAAAGGATACATTTCCTACAATTGCAAAAATAGCATAAAAATATTTATCAATTTAAGCAACTTCAACTTCTAGTGAAAGATTATTTTCATATGCAGGAATTGTAATGAATAAAAAAAGAACAAAATTAAGCCCTAAGTTATTTAACAAAATATTATTTTTAAAAAGAAATATGAAATATATAGGATCAATTTGGCCAAATTAAGATAGTTATATAAAATAATAAGATAAGTTTTATTTTAAAATTTTATTATTTACAATTTAAGGATAGGGTGTACAAATTTCTAATTTCATATAAAATAGATTGTAGATCAACTTTGTGTAACCAATTTTATATGATATCAT